GCTAGTGGGGTACAGTGTGTGAGGCTAGTGGGGTACAGTGAGTGAGGTTAGTGGGGTACAGTGAGTGAGGCTAGTGGGATACAGTGAGTGAGGCTAGTGGGGTACAGTGAGTGAGGTTAGTGGGTTACAGTGAGTGAGGCTAGTGAGGTACAGTGAGTGAGGTTAGTGAGGTACAGTGTGTGAGGCTAGTGGGGTACAGTGTGTGAGGCTAGTGGGGTACAGTGTATCTTTTCTCGCCTGCCCTGTTTTGGAGAGCCCTATGTAAATAGTGGGTTCTCTCCTGGGGAACCTAGTTGAGGTTTTGAGATCTCTTAATTCGAGGGTTTCACTTGGAGCAATGAGAGATTGAGAGAAAACATAGCCCAAACAGTGCACCACAAAACCCCTGAACCCCTCCCGCAGCTTGTAAAACCCACTTACCGTACACTCCTTGCCCCCTGCTGTGTCTGGGGATGAGAGAGATGAAGAGGAGCCAGAAAACCTCCATCATTCAGGGGAGATCCTTCATCAGCAGCCGGGAAGAGTCCGCAGCGTGGAGCCGGCTCCCCTGGAGCCCCCACAGCCGGCACCAGAGCCCCCCAGCCTAACCTCAGAGCTCGCTCCCTTTCAGCATCCAGATCACACAGCCAGGCTCCTCCTGGAGCCCAAACACCAGGAACTGGCTGCCTTTTCCTACAGCCCAAACACCAGGAACTGGCTGCCTTTTCCTAGAGCCCAAACACCAGGAACTGGCTGTCTTCTCCTAGAGCCTAAACACCAGGAACTGGCTGTCTTCTCCTAGAGTCCAAACACCAGGAACTGGCTGTCTTCTCCTAGAGCCCAAACACCAGGAACTGGCTGTCTTCTCCTAGAGCCCAAACACCAGGAACTGACTGTCTTCTCCTAGAGCCCAAACACCAGGAACTGACTGTCTTCTCCTAGAGCCCAAACACCAGGAACTGACTGTCTTCTCCTAGAGCCCATACACCAGGAACTGGCTGTCTTCTCCTAGAGCCCAAACACCAGGAATTGGCTGCCTATACCAGGAACCCAAACAACGGGAATTGTCTGCCTCTTGTTGTAGCCCAAACACCAGCAACTGGTTGGCTCCTGCCGGATTCCAAACACACAACTGGCTGCCTCCTCCTGTAGCCCGAACACCAGGAGCTGGCTGCCTCCTGATGGACCTATAGAGAGATCTTTATCTGCCCCCTTGAACTCAGCCTGAAGTGCAAAGTACTCCCAAGTTAGACCTCCAGGCAAAGTGGCTGTAGCCCCCCTTATTTAGGGAGTAAGAGTCTGGGTGGGTGGAGAAGGTGGTATCTGACACCCCCCAGTTCATGAGATGTTTTCCCTCTCTCCTGGTGGATCACTGGTGTTGCAGTAAATGAAATACTCCAAGCAGATCCTTGATAGTGGTGTAAGATCCTTCCTGTTCCCCAATAGATCTATGTAATAAAATGAGATCCACTATAGACTCTTAGTGATCCCACTCTCCTCAGAACTTTACTGACCCAGTCTCCTCCAAACACTCTCAGTCATTACTCTGTCTCTGTAGACTTTATTGGTATTTGTGTTCCTGTGGTCATCCAGCAGATTCCTAGTGACAGGTTGTATCACTTTTTCCCAGCAGATCCCTAGTGATACAGAGTAGATTCCTAGTGACAGGTTGTATCACTTTTCCCCAGCAGATCCCTAGTGATACAGAGTAGATTCCTAGTGACAAGTTGTATCACTTTTCCCCAGCAGATCCCTAGTGATACAGAGTAGATTCCTAGTGACAGGTTGTATCACATTCTGCCAGCAGATCCCTAGTGATACAGAGTAGATTCCTAGTGCCAGGTTGTATCATTTTCTCCCAGCAGATCCCTAGTGATACAGAGTAGATTCCTAGTGCCAGGTTGTATCACTTTCTCCCAGCAGATCCCTAGGTTATCAAATGAGGTGATCAGGTTTGTACATCCATGCCAGACAGGTGAGTAAGATGGTAGATTAGGTGTGAAGGTGAAGCAGAGATCCAGACTGTACTTCCACAAGTGTCCCCCAGCCTTATACCGCGGTGTGGTAGTGGAGTAATCACGTGCCCTCAGTATTGCCCCCTTGGCAGAGCTGTGCCCAGGATCGCGCCTCAATGCAGTGTGTCTGGTGCCCGGCAGGAGGGGACTGGCCAGGGACCTGCTGCTTCCTGCTAAAGTATCCACAGAGATCAGAGCCTGGGTTCATGGACTTGGAAGGGTTAATAATTTGGGGCCCCTGAGAACCTCCTCTGCTCCCGCCAGGACCACAGCTGCTCCAGCCTGGACAAGTTCGTGGTCTGCTCCCCAGCTCTCCCTCTCTCCCTCTCCTACTTTATATGAACAAACAGAGGACCAATTACATGTTTGGGGTGGTGGAAGGGGCCAGCCTTCTGCCCAAATTCCCTGCCCCCCCTCCAGGACCAATTAGACTCCATCCAGCCCTGGCACTGGGAGAGGGGGTCTCTGCAATCACTCCTCCTCCTGCCTGCTCCATCCCTCTTTCTGAACTGCTCACAGCTGCAGGATGTCAGCAGCCACACTGAGCTCCAACCAGACCGATCTCCAACTAGACCGATCTCCAGCCAGACTGAGCTCCAACCAGACTGAGCTCCAACCAGACCGAGCTGCAACCAGACCGATCTCCAACCAGACTGAGCTCCATCCAGACTGAGCTCCAACCAGACCGATCTCCAACCAGACCGAGCTCCAACCAGACCGATCTCCAGCCAGACCGATCTCCACTGAGACTGAGCTCAAACCAGACCGAGCTCCACTAAGACTGAGCTCCAACCAGACCGAGCACCAACCAGACCGAGCTCCAACCAGACTGAGCTCCAACCAGACCGAGCTCCACTGAGACTGAGCTCAAACCAGACCGAGCTCCAACCAGACTGAGCTCCATCCAGACTGAGCTCCACTGAGACTGAGCTCCAACCAGACTGAGCTTCATCCAGACTGAGCTCCATCCAGACCGAGCTCCAACCAGACTGAGCTCCACTGAGACTGAGCTCCAACCAGACTGAGCTCCACTGAGACTGAGCCAACCAGACTGAGCTCCACTGAGACTGAGCTCCATCCAGACCGAGCTCCACTGAGACTGAGCTCCATCCAGACTGAGCTTCATCCAGACTGAGCTCCAACCAGACCGAGCTACAACCAGACTGAGCTCCTCTGAGACTGAGCTCCATCCAGACTGAGCTTCAATCACCCTGAGCTCCACTGAGACTGAGCTCCATCCAGACTGAGCTTCAATCACCCTGAGCTCCACTAAGACTGAGCTTCATCCAGACCGATCTCCATCCAGACTGAGCTCCATCCAGACTGAGCTCCAACCAGACTGAGCTCCAACCAGACCGAGCTCCAACCAGACTGCGCTCCATCCAGACTGAGCTTCATCCAGACCGAGCTCCACTGAGATTGAGCTCCATCCAGACTGAGCTTCAATCACCCTGAGCTCCACTGAGACTGAGCTCCATCCTGGGGAGGATACTGGAACAAGGTCGGTCCATGAGATCCCATGCCTTGCTCCAGTAAGAGACAGCCAGTCAGGGATAGAGGGGACAGCATCAGGATGGCGAGGACCCAGCTCAGTATCCTCCCCTGGCTAGATGGCTGGCTGGGGGACTAGTTGGGTGATAGCAGGACTGGCTGGGTTATAGCAGGACTGGCTGGGTGACTGACTGGGTTATAGCAGGACTGGCTGGGGGACTAGTGGGGTGATAGCAGGACTGGGTGGGTTATAGCAGGACTGGCTGGGTGGGTTATAGCAGGACTGGCTGGGTGACTGACTGGGTTATAACAGGACTGGCTGGGTGACTGACTGGGTTATAGCAGGACTGGCTGGGGGACTAGTGGGGTGATAGCAGGACTGGGTGGGTTATAGCAGGACTGGCTGGGTGGGTTATAGCAGGACTGGCTGGGTGGGTTATAGCAGGACTGGCTGGGTGACTGACTGGGTTATAGCAGGACTGGCTGGGTGACTGACTGGGTTATAGCAGGACTGGCTGGGTGACTGACTGGGTTATAGCAGGACTGGCTGGGGGACTGACTGGGTTATAGCAGGACTGGCTGGGTGACTGACTGGGTTATAGCAGGACTGGCTGGGTGACTGACTGGGTTGTAGCAGGACTGGCTGGGTGACTGGGTGGGTTATAGTAGGACTGGCCGGGTGACTGGGTGGGTTATAGCAGGACTGGCAATCTGGGTGCGAGCAGGACTGACTGGTAAGACTGCCTGGGTGACTGGCTGGATGGCAGCAGGACTGGCTGGGTGGGTTGTAGCAGGACTGGCTGGATGGGTAACTGGCTGGCTGGGTAACTGGCTGGCTGGCTGTGTTGTAGCAGGACTGGCTGGCTGGGTAGCTGGCTGGCTGGCTGGGTTGTGGCAGGACTGGCTGGCTGGGTGTAGCAGGACTGGCTGGGTAACTGACTGGCTGGCTGGGTGTAGCAGGACTGGTTGGATGGGTAACTGGCTGGCTGGGTGTAGCAGGACTGGCTGGCTGGGTGTAGCAGGACTGGCTGGATGGGTAACTGGCTGGCTGGGTGTAGCAGGACTGGCTGGCTGGGTGTAGCAGTGGACTGGCTAGCTGGGCACTGGCTGGCTGGGTAACTGGCTGGCTGGGTTGTAGCAGGACTGGCTGGCTGGGTGTAGCAGGACTGGCTGGCTGGGTAACTGGCTGGCTGGGTGTAGCAGGACTGGCTGGATGGGTAACTGGCTGGCTGGGTTGTAGCAGGACTGGCTGGGTGGGTAACTGGCTGCTTAGTTTATGCATCGGCAGAGAAGCATTTCCTCAGTTCTGTCTGAATAACACAGAGCTCCTTCATCTGCGACTTCAGAGCATGCAGCATGGCTTGGAGGGAGGGGGGGTACCAGCATTGAGCTGTGTCCATCCATGTGCCCAGGATCCCCAGCATGGTAGGGGGGGCTGTATCAGTCCTTGTGCCCATGATCCCCAGCATGGCAGAAGGGGGGTACCAGCATTGAGCTGTGTCCATCCGGGGGGGAGGGCAGTATTGGGCTGTACCAGTCCATGTGCCAGGATTCCAAGCATGGCAGGAGGGGGGGTGGGGAGATCAGCATTGAGCTGTGTCCATCCATGTGCCCAGGATCCCCATCATGGCAGGAGGGAGGGGGGGTGGTGGTGGGGATCAGCATTGAGCTGTGTCCATCCATGTGCCCAGGATCCCCATCATGGCAGGAGGGAGGGGGGGTGGTGGTGGGGATCAGCATTGAGCTGGGTCCATCCATGTGCCCAGGATCCCCATCATGGCAGGAAGGGAGGGACGGGACCTGTATTGGGCTGTACCAGTCCATGTGCCCAGGGGGAGGGGGGGGCAATCAGCATTGCCCAGGATCCACAGTGGGAGAAGCCAAACTGTCACAATTCAGATGGCTAAAACAGGGCGAGCATGGCATTATGACCTGGGCATGTAATCCAGGAATCTGCAAAAGAAGACATCTGTTGCTGACCTACAACTCCTACAATGCTTCGTCATCAAAACGTCTAAAAGGCGTCATGGGAGTCGTAGTTCTGACTAAGAGGAGGGTTTTTCCAATTGTGTTGCTAATATATTCCCTATGTGTGATCCATGGCATGCACAGTATGTATAGATGGGTGTCCATGTAAGGAGACACAATGTATTAATATGAGGGTCACACTGGCAGATACATTATTTTAGTCTCGGATTAACCCTTTGTAGCTCCATGCAGAATGCTGGATTATATGGACAGTAATTCCTGTGTGTTTGCTGGGAGCTTATGGTCTCTGAGGCTTTCAGTGAGACAGTGCTGTATGTCAGGTAACTGGAAAGGCAGGATGTCATGCAGATTGTATGAAGGACCTCATATTAACATATCTCCCTGATTCCTACACATATTGGAATATAGAGCCAGTGTATAATAATCAGCTCCCAAGGTTTCATTTATTGTCACATTAAAGGGCACATTTTATAATAACGATAAGATGTCACTTTATAAGGGATATCATCCAAACTATACATTGTGTGATAAAACCTGCTACAACATGTATACACTGGGTATACCCCCCCCCCATTATTCCCCTTTATTTGGCATGGGTATAAAGACCCCCATTATTCCCCTTTATTTGGCATGGGTATATCACCCCCCCCCCATTATTCCCCTTTATTTGGCATGGTTATAAAGACCACCCCATTGTGTTCTCTCCTTTATTTGTGATTGTCAAGACACCTCCCATTATTCTGCTTGTTGGCATGGGTATAAGGGCCTTACTCCCCATTGTTATTCCCCTTTATTTGGCATGGGTGTAAGACCCCCTCCCCATTATTCCCCTTTATTTGGCATGGGTATAAAGGCGCCCCCATTATTCCCCTTTATTTGGCATGGGTGCTGGAGCCCCCCATTATTCCCTTTATTTGGCATGGGGTATGAGACCCCCCATTGTTCCCCTTTATTTGGCATGGGTATAGGACCCCATTGTTCCCCTTTATTTGTGGGTATAAGACCCCCCATTAATCCTTTATTTGGCATGGGTATAAAGACCCCCCATTATTCCTTTGTTTGGCATGGGTATAAGACCCCCATTATTCCCTTTGTGGCATGGGTATGAGGGCCCCCATTAATCCCCCTTTATTTGGCATGGGTATAAGACCCCCACCCCCATTATTCTCCTTTTATTTGGCATGGGTATAAAGACCCCCCATTATTCCCCTTTATTTGGCATAAGATTATAAGGAGCTCATTGTTATTCTCCTTTATTTGGCATGGGTATAGAGATTTACCATTATTCCCCTTTATTTGGCTTGGGTATGAAGACCCCCCCATTATTCCCTTTATTTGGCATGGGTATAGGGCCACACATTATTCCTTTATTTGGCATGGGTATAAAGGCCCCCCCATTATTCCCTTTATTTGGCATGGGTATAAAGACCCCCATTATTCCCCTTTATTTGGCATGGGTATAAAGACCCCCTCCTCCCCCATTGAGATATATGAGGAGTTATTTGGGGGCACAGTGGATGCCATGCTGTAAACTGCCAGCACTATGACACACATGTTATTAACCATCCCCACATATTGTTGGACTACTACTCCCATAATTACCTTTAGTCATTGTTTTGCAGAGCATTATAGGTGTTGGAATCTAAAAACATCTGGGGCCCACGGTTTTCCATTACTATTTTAGCAGGTTAGACCTACAGGAGTTCTGGACAATCACCATGGAAACCAATCAAAGTGGAAACCAATAGAATGTTCTTTTTCATTGTACTACAGCAGAAACCAGCAGAAAGTTCTTCCTGATTGCACTACAACTGAAACAATCACCATGGAAACCAACGGAATGCTTCTGCCAATTGCTGTACAGCTGAAACAATCACCATGGAAACCAACGGAATGTCCCTGCTGAGTATTCTACGCCTGAAACAGGAACAGTCACCATGGAAACCAATAGAATGTTCCTGTGGATTGATCTTTTACCTACAATCCTATAGCATATATACCCTATATACAGTTATATTTATTATAGTATTGCCGGTTTAATAATATATCTCACTTTGTGAAATAAAACAGATGTGTAATAAAATGTAGAAATACTTTATAATACTTTCAAAATACAATTATACTTAAAGAGGTGTCACATTTTTAGCACAACCTAACAGGAACAAAAAGCAGTTAACAGCTAAAAGTTAGTTATTGGTTAAGCTAAAATTGTCTTAAAATTCGTAATATTTTATTTTATTTCATTACGCGGCAAAACCAGTTCAGTATGTCAATTTGTTGCTGCTCACAGCACATGTGTGCGTATGGCACCGCTGTAAAAATTGCAGAGCGCATATGAACGCATACTGCATTCGCTGTTAGATGCCTAAACATGCGCACAGTCGCTAGGCATCTTAAAGGACCACTATAGGCACCCAGACCACTTCCGCTTAATGAAATGGTCTGGGTGCCAGGTCCATCTAGCACTTACCCTGCCTGCTGTAAACATAGCATGTAGGTCCGCCAGTCCTAGCCCCGCCTCCGATCCTCCTCCTTGGCTGAGATCATCAGAATTGATGATCTCAGCCAATCCAATGCTTTCCCATAGGAAAGTAATAGGAGGCTATCGTGCATGCGCCACAAAATCCCTCCTCAGAGATTACCTCCACCAATGCCAGATC